CAAGTGAGGAGAAAATGCTCATGTGGTATAGGGATATTGTTGCACCCAATGTCTCTGCTATATCTCAAGAGAACAGACAGGAGCGGTGGCATAAATGTGTGGTAGCATCAGGAAAGAGAGAAACTCAGAGAAACAGATAGCAGGAGGCTGAGGCAAGATGGAAGTTTCCGGGGCTGTTTCAGAAGAGCCTGACTATAGAGAATGAAAGCTATTGCTTTCTTGCAGTGACTGGCTCGTTTTCATTTCGTGCATGGCATCAGCAGATTGTTGCCTAACTTTGGACATTTTTAACAGGAGAGGAAATTTTCTGTCAGTTCTGTTATGATAATTATAAAAAAAACACATATCTTTTAATTGAACATTCATTAAATCACTTGGCCAGGAATCCAAACAACAAAATGTCTATTATGCTATTCTGTGCATAATAGAAGTTATGCAACATGTTTCTTCTCAGAAGAGAGAATAAAAAGGAAAACCACCCCCAGATGACCACTTTTAGCACTTTTATTTTGCAGCGAGAGGTGAAGAACATGAATAAAATACATGTTCTTGAATTAATCTCCCTTGGGTGCAGAGAGAAAAGAGCTCATTATTCCTCTAACGGGCAGAATTTGATTTTATTGACACCCTAGCAGTATGTCAATTGCTCAGTATATCTCCCCAGGCTGTAGTCTTACGGGCTTCCTTTTCTTCTTTTCTCTTTCTTTCTTTCTTTCTTTCTTTCGTTCATTCATTCGTTCTTTTTTCTTTCTTCTTTTCTTTCTTTCTTCCTCTTTTCTTTCCTTTTTTTACTTAGCAATTCTATGATATATCCCCATGCATGATTCTTATTCTTTACACTATGTTGCAATCCGCTTCCGAAAGAACAACTATAAGTTCAATGAAAACAATATATAACATGTTCTGTCTACTACATGAGTATGTCTGCTTATTTGTAAGTGGACCACACCTTGCAGATATTAGGTAACAAACACATGAATTCAGTTTAAGAACTATACTGAAAGATACAATTCCACATGGGTAGGCGTTTCTTTTTCAATCTATTCTGTGTCTCCTTGCACTGGCTTTGTGATTCACATCCAGTAGCTATAAAACAAATGTTTATTGAATAAGGAATGATTACATAAGTTAATGATTGGATGAATGACTGAATTCGGAAACAGTTTTATGTGCTAACAAAAATGTTGGTAAACACAGAATCATAGAACTGAATTGCTTAGAGAGATCATCTTTTTCTACCAGGCCTTGATGTAGTAGGCTGAACAACGGCCAAAGATGTTGGAAGTCCTAATCCCCCAAATCTGTGAATATGTTACCTTAGATATCAGAAGAGATTGTGCAGATGTGAGTAATTGAAGAGATTTGAGGCAAGAAGATTATCCTAGATTATCTAGGTGGGCCTAATCATAAGAGCCCTTAAAAGAGGGAAGCAAGAAGTCAGAATCAAAACAAGTAACGTGACTACAAAAGTAGAAAGAGAGAGATTTGAAGATGCTACCCTACCTACTAGCTTTGAAGATGGAGGAAGGGGGTTAAGATTTAAGGGATGCTGAGCCTTTAGATGCTGGAGAAGACAGGAGGATGGGTTATCCTCAGAGCTTCCAGAAGGAACCAGCCCTACTGACTTCCTGACATTAGCCCAGTGAGACCTATTTTTGGAATCTGACTTCCAGAACTGTAACACAGTAAATGTATGTTGTTTTAAGCTACAAAGTTTGTGGTAATTTGTGACAGTAGCAAAAGTATATGGTAGTTCTACTCAACGGATCTGGAATAATTCTGGAATCTGAAACTTACTAAGTACTCTCAGAATGCCTAGCAAACCCTGACATACTGCATCACACCCATTTTGTACTTGAAAAAAGCAGATCTCAAGATTAGTATAGACATAAGTACAATTTACCATGTGAAAAAAAATGTTTGGAAAACAAGTCTGAAAAAAAAAAGAAAACATCCCTGAACTATTAATACTATATTCTGCAACTATATATTGATTTTCTCCTCTTGCTTTTACAAAAAGAGCAAGGGCTTTCACAGAGGGTGATTTGGATAATACCTTACATGCATTGTTTCAAGCAGAAATCCTCCATCTATCATTTCTGCTTGTATTACTTCACATCTCTTAAAGACGTTCACATTTCATTGCGGGGAGCAAAGTCTCCTGCCTGTGTTATCTCTCTGGCTCTGTACCCCAGAGCTTACTTCCCTTTCCCCTGAATAGATTGTTGGTGGTTTTCTTTATCTTCTTCTGTGAAGAGTATGATAAATATGTGGTGTCAGCTCCGTTTTTCTGTTTTAGTCTATTAAATTATACGAACTGTGGCTTTATTAAATACGTATGACACATTCAGCATCTCTAACGATGTTAGAGATATTCAATAGATACAGTACGGCCATACTCCTTATTTTCTTGAGATATCAAAATTAAGGATAGCTTTCTAATAGTACATTACTTACTTGGTTCAAATTTCAATCACTAAAAGGGAAAAATCATAAGCACAAAGAAATCCTTAGAAATGAGTTCTGCCAAAACAGTAGCATCTTAAAGCAGGTATTAAGTAGCCACATTCCATTTCAGGTCTGCAGTTGGAATTTGCATCCTATGTCCCCACATCCACTTCTTTAGTATCATTGGCAATCACCATAATTATTCCTGGACAGTTATTTTATTTATTTATTTATTTTAAAGATTTTATTTATTTATTTATTTATTTATTCATGAGAGAGAGAGAGAGAGAGAGAGAGAGAGAGAGAGAAAGAGAGAGGCAGAGACACATGCAGAGGGAGAAACAGGCTCCATGCAGGGAGCCGATGTGGGACTCGATCCCAGATCTCCAGGATCAGGCCTTGAGCTGAAGGCTGCGTTAAACTGCTGAGCCACCTGGGCTGCCCTGGACAGTTATTTTAAATTTGACATGATTCTTATAGGTGTTCTCCTATGAACATCTTCTTTTTTTTTTCCAGTATATCAGCTGGTACTATGTATCTCCTTTTCTTTAAAAATAAGGTGTCTCTATAGGGACAAATTCCAGGGGCACCTGGGTGCTCAGTGCTTGAGCACCTGCCTTTGGCTCAGGGCATGATCCCAGGGTCCTGGGATGGAGTCCCATGTCTGGCTCCTTGCATGGAGCCTGCTCCTCTCTGCCTGTGTCTCTGCCTCTCTCTCTGTGTCTCTCATGAATAAATAAAATCTTTTATAAAAATAAAAAAAATAAAAATAAGGGGTCTCTATAGGGACAAGTTCCAGTATGGATGCTGATCTCTTTCTCTCAGAGTGATTACTCAAAAAGGTAATATCTAAGATCTGTGTTTATTATTTCATTTTGTATACAGGAAGGGGACCCAGAGACTCACATTGTTGTAGGGGACATGGCTGTCATCTCTGATGCTTCCCACTGAAAGCTTTTGTTTTACTTAATATACTAAATACGTTGAAAATTAGAATGTCATTAATAGGATTCCAGGGACTGTCACCACTAGACTGGGATCCAGAGTCTTGTTCCTGGCATATGTTCCTGCTTGAGACATTAAGCCACTAGCCCTCTGTTGGGGTCCTACTGTACCTGCTTCACAATCTGATATTAATAATGAGGAGAAGAAAGCTGCCTTGTTCGTGCCACTAAGGCTCTTGAGTAAGGCTCTTCTCCTCATGTCTGCTTTAGTGCCTGCAGAGGAGATTTTTATTGCCAGATGTACATGCAGTAGCAAAAAACTAAAGCATCTCTCTCAGCTAATGAGCTACAAAATATAAAAGTTTGGGGCAGTCTCTATGGAAACTTTTGAATATGGTGACCTACCAGTGCCGAGTGTGTATGAGGTGACAATTCCTCCTGGAAGGCAGATTGTCACAAATGGGAAATGGTTGGACTTTATGAGAGTCACTAAAATTATCTCTGCCTCAGTTTCCATCACTGTAAAGGCATAATCATCTAACTTGCAGTTACATTATCAGGATTAATGAATAATCTAAATTACATTAAATCCTTCAGAAATAGGCATTATATAAATAGGAAGCAATCTATTAAGTGGGTAAAAGCTCAAGAAAAAGAGGCTAAACTTGTTATATAAAATATGGTCTGAAATGTAAGTAATTGACCAAAAATCAGGACTTCGGGCCAATTACTGGACATCCGATCTTTGTCATTTGAGAAAAATTGTACAGAGTACCCTTTCTTCATTTTCAACATTTGCTTATTATGTGAAGTAGATAATTTAGCGCTAAATAAAGACATAGTTACATTGTCTCCATGTATCATTGCACACTGCTAAAAAAGGAATTATTTTAAATTGGTAGTCAGAATCTCTCCCCAAATGATGATAATTGGATCTCAGATTCAAAGGATACCATTCAATTGGAAAGAAATGGCCAGAAGATATATGAAGGCTCTGTCCGCAGTGTACAATATCTTATATTTTCTCAAGTATTACATCAAGCTCACACCACAAAGAAAGTAAACATTGACCCGAAATACGTATCTGACATTTATCTTAAAAATTCCATGGGTTAATTGTTTATATTTCTGTTACTCGTGCTGTAACTTCTTGTGAGTGGTAAGAATCCTTATTAATTTTTATTGATCGCCCGCTGAGAATACAGTGCCCTGCTAAGATATTTTGATAGTCTTGGGGTACAGAAACAAGGACAAAAGCTATCTGAGCCCTCCAGCATCATCAGGATGCATAATGTTAGCCTCATTTAACAATGTTTCTGTGGCTAATCATTTGTGCTTTTAACAAGTGACATTGAGACTTTTAGAAGATGCACCCATACTGTGATCCGCACATACCTTGTGTTTAAGATGGAAAGGAAGTGGACTTAACACAGAATGTCTTGAAAGTTTGCCACTGGTTATTTGGGTAGGAAAGTTATTAATGTAGATATTCGCTTTTAATGTAGCAAGTTGCTTAATCGGGGCATTCTTCAAGGAGCTGAGAGATATAAACTAATAATGGTTTTTTTTTGTTTTTTTTTTGTTTTTTTTTTGCTGGACAAATAACAGGAAGTGATATGCATTTTACAAACAGAAAAAAAGAAAGTAAACATCACTTATCTGGAGGACTGGTTGAAGGTGAGTTATAGCATAGTAGGATATACATAAGGCACCAAAACCAAATCCGAATGATGTATGATCACCAAATAGAATTGAACACTCTTTGGATAGACGTGATTCTGAAAAATCCTTGTCTAAATGATTCATACAGGATCTGTATGATTTCCCCAGTGATCCATTCAGGACTGCTGAGAAATCTTGGAGACCATGGGGGAATATAAATAAAGTTAAGAAGGTTCACAAATCTGGGACTTCTGGGTGGCTCAGCAGTTGAGTGTCTGCCTTCAGCTCAGGGTATGATCCCAGGATCCGGGATCCAGTCCCACGTTGGGCTCCCTGCATGGAGCCTGCTTCTCCCTCTGCCTGTGTCTCTGCCTCTCTCTCTGTGGGTGTCTCTCATGAATAAATAAATATTTTTTTTAAAAGAAGATTCACAAATTCTACAAAACCTACATGTTGCCTGGGATGGTTAATATTTCAACCCAGAGCAGTGCTTGGTACAGATTATTAAAGTCGACAGAAGCAATGTAAGTGACATATTAGTCATTAAAATTCCCTCATGTCATATTGGATAAATAAAGTCCTTGGGAATATATTTATGATTGATTATTTTATAAATTCTTTTATTCAAAAGTAATGTCTCTAAATTAACTCTGTACATGTCCCTACATGTACACACACACACACACACACACCAAATATTTTATGTTATTTCAATATATGCCAGGGATTGGGCCAGCTATTTTACACATATATATTCATTTAATTTTATATCTAGAAAGATGTCTTAGTCTGTTTAGGCTGTCATAACAAAATACCATAGACTGGGTAGTTCATAAACAATAGTTTCTTTCTTATAATTTTAATGACTAGGAACGCCAAGATTATGGTGCTAGCATGGTCACGTTCTGGTAAGAGCCCTCTCCTCATCTGTAGACTAATTATTTTTCATTGGGGTCTCACATGGAGAATGGACAGGGAAGCTCTGTGGGGTCTCTTTGAGAAGAACATTAATCCCGTTTGTCAGGGCTCCACACTCATGACATGACCACTTCCCAAAGGTCCTGTCTCCTACTACCATCACCTTTGGTGATTAGGATTTACCATATGAATTTGTGTGTGTGTGGGGGGGGGCATATTCAGACAATACCAAAAGGTAAGATACAGATATTAAATTTTCAATTAGCATTGAAAGTCATTGAAACTGTTAAGTTCAGTGACTAAAAATTTGAGTCCAAGGAGGAAGAAAGGATAATCTATTCAGGGGAAAGGGAAGAAAACTAAGATAAAGAGCAAAATGTTTACATGTAAAATGCTTTGTAGATCATTAGCAAGGAAGCAAATTTTTTTAAGGGTTTATTTATTTATTCATGAGAGACACAAAGAGAGAGGGGCAGAGACGCAGGCAGAGGGAAAAGCAGGCTCCACGCAGGGACCCCAATGTGGGACTTGATCCCAGGACTCCAGGATCACGCCCTGGGCGGAAGGCAGGTGCTAAACTGCTGAGCCATCCAGGGATCCCCAATGAAGCAAATTTTGTACCTAGAAGATCTTAAGCCATTTTTCCCCATCACACATTTATATACTAAATGATATACATTATCAAACTGCTCATTCTATGAAATATCAAAACTGCATTTGGATCCTAGAACTATGACTCTTCTCCTTAAAGGAAAACATATATTGATTTTATTTATTGACTCTTGAGTGAAAATGTGTTCATCAGTGAACCATGAATTTCTTCTATCGGCCTCTTTTGGGATGCCCCTCCAACCCACCTCATTATAGAGAACATTTTGCTTCCTTCCACAATGCAATGTCTTCATACAGAAAGGGTCATCTGTCATTCAGGTGACCCAGTAGGCCATCATATTTTGAAAGCTATATAGTTTTCTGACCTAATGACCATATTGTAGCTTTCAGAAATAATGAAGTTAACATCTTGTATTGTGGAAATTTTGTAGATTATGTGGTAACTAAAGTCAAAAGGTGGAAGGGCTATAAAAATTATTATATATGTCTAAATTTGTACATCAGCATTTCAAAAATCCTCTGTCCAAAATTATTATCTTCACATTCATTTGGGCTATATATGCATACATCTAAATAATTTTTGGCGAAAACTGCAGCAGCCTTATTCTTTCCTCTGGGAACTAGTACTTTAAGAAGAATACAAATTTTTTACTCATATCCATTTCTGCTTGAAAATTTGTTTAGTATACAGTTACACATATTTGATATCTATGTGTGTAGGTATTACATTTGTGTGTTTCCAAATATATTTCTAAAAACCACAAAAATGTGAAATAGAATATTTCAGATGATATAATAACTCAGAAATAATTACTTCTCACCCCAATGCCCGTCTCCTTACTTCTGATATCAAGAGGGCATAAAGAAGGCAGCTTTCTTAAACATAATTCTCTGACTCACAGTTTGTCTTTACCAGCTATTTGTAGTGAAGAGTAAATGTAGATTTCCTTATTTAGAATATTGACCCTGTGGGGAGGTATATTTCAGAGCAAACATGTTACAGGCTTGGGTGCTTCAACTTTTAAATATATAATTTCAGAGATCATTTTTTTCCTAATTTTTTTTTTCAGTTAGTGAGAATTACGGTGCAATTTCAAATTCAATTCAAGTCTTTGACCCTAATCTGCTAGAACATAAATATACCCAATCCAATTACATCGGTGACCAAAGAACACTTGCTACTTCCTTGCAGATGCTTCTTTTCATTGTTCCCTGAGGATAAGACAGACTTGGTGAGTGGGAGACCAGTTACAAGGGAGAGTAATAGCTTACGGGACAGGTTTTGACCCAATTTCCATAGAAAGACATCACACTTTGATGATGATGTGAAATGTGTCTTTTAGTCCAGCTGTTTAATTCACCACTCTTTTCAAATAAATTAACCTTTTAATGGACTGAGAAAGCCTAGAAGTTAACAATATTTCATTATTTCTCAAGTAAATCCGTTCCAGAGTAAAGCAACTACCAGGAGAGTAGTATTCCACATATTTTAATTATCTGCCAAGTGCTGAAAGCCAGAGGTGTCTTGTCACAGCAAATAAAAACATAGTGAAGTTAATTTTAAGGACTTAAGTGTCCAAATTGTGGAACAGATCAGTTAATAAAAACGGATCGGGGGGAGATTGATAGGATTCACGGGTTTTTATTTTGTTTTGTTTTTGCATTCTCAAAATATTGACATGCAGAGATGGCTTTTAAATATGATGCTTTCTAGCCTACATTTTAGAGTACAGTTCCTGCGAATAATAATGCAAAGTGGTAGCTGAAGTTACTAATGCAAAATGGCCATTGAATTCCAAATGAGACTCCGGGAGACTGAGCCCTTGAAGAGTCTCTCTGTATGATCGAATCGTGATAATCTCAGGCATGGCAAGTTATATGTTCTGAGAAAAGATGCTCCATGTGTCCAAATGTTTTGACACATGGGGTAATCCCTTTTCCAGAAATAACAGGAGCAGCACATTCTTCTGTCATTTACTACCTATTTGACCTTGATCCAATCACCAAGTCTTATTGTACTGTCTTATTGTCTCCTCCAAAAAATAAAATACTAACATATTAGTAGGAGACTAGAGAGAAGAAAAGTAAATATTAGCAAATTAAAGTGTGTCTCATGTGAGTAGTTAAATTATGAATTATCTATTTATATATGGATATTAGGGCCCTTGAACACCATCTCTAAACATATCTACAATTTCTTTTATAAGACACAAACTAGTGTTTTTCTCCCTGACATTGTAATCAAGTCACACAGAAATCATGAGAGAAAAATAAGTTTCTTCTGAGAATGCATATATTTTTCTCTTTATAGAGTTCTGGACTAGGGAAATTCCAGCTATAATTGAGCAGATTTCGTATCTGTGACCTATTATGCTTATTCTTCTGGAGAACAAAATCAGTAGGCTCTTGAGCTCCAACCAGATCAGTGATTGTTTGTGCATGGTTTTAATTAATTAAGATTGTTTTCAGGACACTAAGCCTCACACTTAACTTTCAGTGAAATTTGACTTGTAAGAATAAATCAGTGCTTTGGAAATGTCATGTTCTCATTTTAATGAGTTTATAATTAAGCAGAACACAGGTTGTTTTCTTTACTGAATCCCACCCACAAGGATTCTATTGATTTACTGTTTCATTACATGAAATAGCACGTCAGGGTGAAGGTAAAGCAGAAAACAAATTATGATCTAATCTAAGATGTAGATCTATACTGGAGTGAGACTGCTGACCTGTGAAATACATTTAAGGAGTATTTACAAAATCATTCCTATTGTCAAAAGGATGAAAGGAGATCTTCTTTGGGTGTTGCAGTGGGGACTCAGAAGGCAGGCAGCTTCTAACAGTACTCGTGAACCTAAAAATGCTAAAATAATTTGTACATATTTGCATTAATAGAATATTTTTTTTAATTGTAGAAGACTAATTTCATCCCCTAAAGTGTATTTATGTATAGGAAAGATAGATTTGGAGAGATAGTGTTGCATAGAGAGGAATTGCCAAAATTAAATTCATGAATGTTGAACGTTACAGCTTAGCTTTATACGTATTTTCAAATATCATTGTCCTCAAAACAATTACTTTGAGATTATTACGTTGAATGTACCTTACGTGACAACTTTCTTCACACAAATGATCTTTATTTTTATCAACTGAAAGATTCTACATACAGAAAGGCATTTATAATTATAAAGAAAGAAATTAGTTGTCATTATTCTTTCAGTTCTTCAGTTCTTTAACCAGAATCACTGAGTGCTACTTTATATCCGGACATGGTATAATGCTTGGTGGAAATTAGAATAAAGAAATGAACAAAACAGTCCCTATCGTACAAAAGTCCATAAAAATTAATAATTTAAACATTAACTTGGGGCACCTGCGTAGCTCAGTTGGTCAAATATCAGACTCTTGGCTTCATCTCAGGTCATGATCTCCAGGTCATGGCATCAAACCCGCATCAAGTTCTGAATGAGATTTTCTCTCTCTCTCTCCCTCTGCCCCTCCCCCTGCTCATGTTCTGTCTCAATCATACAAATAAACCTTTAAAATAAATAAATAAATAAATAAATAAATAAATTCAACTTGAAATCGGAGCAGGGTATTATAAAACCACTGAGGAGGATCATGACAATAGGAGTACACAACTACTAGAAAATCAACAACTTTAAGATTCAAGAAAGCTGTTTTCTGTCATAAATAATGCGATTAAATAATTCTAAGAACATAGACCATTTTCCTCATTTATAGAGTTAGTGTTTTGTGAGAACTATAAGATCTAGGCTTTAAGTATCCTATAATCCTAGAATGTTATGCCAAATCATAAAATTATGTTTGTCAAAATGATGTTTGGAAGTAAAATTGTGTCTCAGGTAGAACAAGTGGTATTTTACCAAATTGCCAAATGGATTTATCATGTTATTTTCATTTCATTTAGATGTCCTTTACGTAGATATGTGTGAACACCTTTAAAAAATATTTAAACGATTGTATTTATTTGAGAGAGACAGAGAGAGCATGAGCAGGGGAAGGGGCAGAGGGAGAGGGAGAAGCAGGATCCCCCTGAGCTCAAATCCAGGACCTTCAGATCATGGGGGGCTCAAATCCAGGACCTTGAGATCATGACCTGAGCTGAAAGCAGATGCTTAACCAACTGAGCCACCCAGGTGCCTCTGTGTGGACACCTTCTTAAGAGAGTTCTAACTTTTGAAATAAGATCTGCGATCCATCTACAGATATACACTATTCCAAGAAAGTTCTCTCTTTTCTTTAGTTGTTTTCATTTGAATTGGAATTCTGACCAATGTAGAGCACGTTAATTAAAGATGCATTAAGAGAAAAGAAGGAAAGAAGAAAGAAAGAAAGAAAGAAGAAAAGAAAAGAAGAAAAGAAAAGAGAAAGGAAACTGACCATGACATATATTTGTGTGAATCTTAACACAACTTCTGCAACCTACAGGTAGCAAAGGAGGTAATAATGCTATTTTATGATGTTACTGGAATTAAAGATTTGGCCCATACTCAGTAAGTTTCATGATAAATCAAATTATAATGTTTTGACATCTCTTAATGAGACTTTAAGAAAATATAGGAGATGTAGCATACTTAGGATTGGGGTGGTAGAGTTCATTTTGAATTTTGTGGAACAGTACCTGTATCAAAAAATCTCAATATTAAATATAATTTTTCCTACAGTATATATTTCTGAAAAAATATAAGAATTCCACTTAAGTTTCATATATGATAATGTTATTAATTTACTTCCTTGTGAAATGCTGACTATAAATTTAACCTCAGAGAAAAAACATAGAAAGAACTTGATTAGGCGTGAGGAATCACATATTATGGTTCATATATTCCTCATAGATAGTTATCAGCTGTGGGTCAAGTCAGCTTCATCAAAGAGAATGCTAAATATGTGAAATGCTAAATATCCTTTATAGGAAAATAGTTAACCTAACTTGAAAATCAGTTTTCTTTAACAAATAAACCAGGATATTCTTTGATACATCTTTAAAATGGAAACTCATGATATCCCTTAGTTTGAAGGTAATTATCATAATAAATTCATTTGTTACTGTGAACCTTCTAGGTGACAAAAATGATCATTAACTTATTTATTCATTTATTCATTCAAAAAATAACCATTGAGTACTTATTGTGAGCCAGTCACTATCCTAACCAGTGAATTAAACAATCTTTAAGTTCAAGGAGATTACATTCTATTGGAAGAAAATAGATAGCAAATAAATAATAAAAGCATATTGAATAGATCAGCCTATTATAAGTTTATTAAAGAGTAAAGCGGAGATAGAGACTGATGACAGGAAGTGTGTTATTTTATACAGGATAGTATCTTAGTTGTCTTGAAGTGTTATAAAAAGTTACCATAGAGAGGGTGGCTTAAACAACAAACATTCTCATGGTTCTGGAGTAGGAATTCCAAGAACAAAGTGCCCACAGATTTGGTTCTTGGTGAGGGACCTTTTTCTGGCATGGAGATGGATATCTACTGGTTATGTCCTCACACGGCAAAGAGAGAAAGTGTTAGCTTTATTCTTCTTATAAGGACACTAATCTCATCATGGAAACTCCACTTTCATGATTTAATGACCTCCCAAAGGCCCTACTTCCAAATATCGTCACATTAGGCCTTTAACATATGAGTTAGGGGGACACCTTCAGTACATTGCAGGTAGTCATAAACATCTCTCTGATGGGGATCCCTGGGTGGCGCAGCGGTTTGGCGCCTGCCTTTGGCCCAGGGCGCGATCCTGGAGACCCTGGATCGAATCCCACGTCGGGCTCCCGGTGCATGGAGCCTGCTTCTCCCTCTGCCTATGTCTCTGCTTCTCTCTCTCTCTCTCTCTCTCTCTCTCTCTCTCTCTCTCTCTCCCTGTGACTATCATAAATAAATAAAAATTAAAAAAAAAAACATCTCTCTGATGAAGTGACATTTGTGCAGATAAGAGGAAGACAGGAGGGAGTTAGCTCTATAGATATCTGGAGAAGATTGTTCTGGAAAAAGCTCCTGAAGTATGAGATGTTTAACCATGTTCAAGCTAAGGTGAGAAAAGTTAATGGTTGAAATGAAATGAGCAAGGAAGAGTTTGATGGAGGGTAGTGCAGATAGGTAGTGAAGATCCGCAAGCACCTACAGCTGTACAAGCAGGGAAAAGGATGTTGACAAATAGTAGTTGAATTCTGGATACATCCTAAACTTAGCAAAGACAATTTTATATGTAGATTGAAAGATTTGAAATAAATTATTCAACAGTGACTTTAAGGTTTTGGTGTGAAGCAAATAGTGAAATGGAGTTGCCATATACTGAGGTGGGGACGATTATAGAGAAAGCTAAGTGAGGAAATCACTGATTTGAGCTTTGGAAATGCTGTTTTGAGATGTCAATTAGATATCCAGGTGGAAATTTCAAAAAGGTAGTTGGACCTAAGAATCTTGAGTTTTGAGTGAGATCAGGACAAGAAAGGTATATTCATACATAAAGTCTCATAAATATTATTAATGAAAATATTCTTCCCAATATGCAGATGGAAAAAAACCTGAGGTCTATATAGGTGCATTTTCGAAGGCCACATTGCTTATAAATAATGGAACTATAAGTTGATCTAGCTTTGCTTTATGAAATATACCATAATCTTTCTTTTTAGCATGATTTAAGTTCTAGAGATTAAATATTCCAAATAAATCAACTCCAATGTAATGCTGAGAGGAATGACTTCTTAGTTATCCATCCTCCTGCTTTTGGGGGAAATCTGACATTTTTCTTAGAGTCAAAAGAACTTGAATTCATTTAATTAGTCAATAACAATATATACTGAAAATCATTATGTGCTAAACTCTCTTCTACATATTGACAATTCAATAGTACATAAGACAGATATACCTCTGCGTTAATGAAGGCTACTTTCTGTAAACATATAACTAGTAGTGTACACTTTTGGACTAATTTAACTGCTTTTGTATCACAGAGAAAATGAGTGAAGATGAGGGGTCAGGGAAAGCTTTAAGCAGATTACCAAGTGTAAAGAGGAAATCAGCCATTTCTGGGTCTAGGGGTGGACATGGGAGAGTGGTTGGGGATGGGTGTGAGGAAGACATGCAGAAGGCAGGATGGACCAGGCGTGGTGGGAGATGAAGAGGGGGATAGGAGGACATAGTAGGCACAAGGAAGCAAGTGAAAAATTGCTGAAATAGGAGGAAGCTTTGTCAGCTGGAGTAGTCAATAGATGCAAATTCCCATTTATTTGCTGGTAATTATTTTTAAACAATTCAGAACCATTCACATGTTTTTGGCCTACAGATTTTTTATTAAGGCCGTCTCCAATAAATACACAAATGAATTCCCACCCTAAACCACACGTACACATCTAAGAAGCATTACCATAAGTTGTGGCCCTCCAAAGCATAACGTTAATCTTTATTCCAGCAGTCTGAGATGGGGAGAAATGGAGAATTCAAGACCGGTATGCTGTAAGTCATGGAAATCATAGAACTGATAAAGCTCAGCAGAAGAGGGAAACCAGAATTTGGGCTCCCGCTGTGTTACATTAGGTGAGAAAATGTTTCTGTGACATATATAATCTCAGGTCAAATGCACTTCTTTGAAAAGATTGTGATTTGTCTGGACAGTCCTTCTGCTAAACGAGGCAATGAAATCCCCCCAGTTCTCAGCAACCAGACAAATGTTTGTCTTTTCTAGACTGCCCTAGGTGCCAACAAATGCCAACTTGCTGGGAGGAAGGACACCATACTAAATATGCCTTCCATTAGATTTGGAGACCTACCGGTATCTTTGACCTCTCAGGTCCTTTAGGTCCTGAATCTCTGCCTCTGACTACAGTGTCTGGGGGAAAAATGCAATATATCGGTAGTAAAGGCTAAAAATATCAATATGTTCAAGAAGGCACTTAATCCATGGAAAATACATATATTCCGGTTCACAAGGGAAAAAAATGACAAAGGAAGACATCTATTATTTCAGAGATAAGTGTAAATAAAGACATCCAAGTGGCAATTTAATTTCTCTCACACATATGTAGTCCATATTGTCAATAATTTAAAAATGAAATATGCAGTTTTCCCCCTAGGTCAGAATATAATTAAATGCTTCAAGTCTTACATGGAGGAGGAGTAGACGTAAATATCAAAAACCCAAATACAACCTACATTTACGTAGAATCTTCCACTTTACAATGCACGTGCTCACGTTTCCTTTCATTTAAATTTCATAACAATACTGGTAGATTTATTAGTTCCAGTTTGAGAGTCAGAGGATGTAAGCAAGCTTCCAGGTTTCAGAATACAACAAATGATAGACCCAAGGTGCTGAATTGGGTCCTAATACTTCAATTTTCACAATTCCTCCCAAATGGGAGAACTGTATTCATTAATTGCCACTTAGCATGCTACTTCTCCATACTCTCTCTTCCTTCATGTGTTACAATAAGTGAGTAAAAGGAAAAGAGACATTATAATATTTAATTATAGTCATCTTTTACTTCCAGGATTTTGCATGTGATTTATAGAAATTAAAATATTATAACTTTGATAAACTTTCTCATCCATATTACACAATGACATTCAATTTCTTCAGGATTTAGGTCATATCTAAGATAATTTTTTTTCAATTAAACATAAAAATAGCAACATAATTGATAGTGTTTTTCTTGAAGAAACTATTCATATATCCACATTACTAATGCCAAGGTCTCGCTCAAGCATTCTGACATTTCAAAGTCAAATGAATCTTGGCATTTAAAAAAAAGGCTATTTGCCTGGAAAAATACCTGCAATTGTACCAAAAAGCCTATACAAGCTAGTAAAGAAACCAATTACATCCTAAATTTAAATTGGGATTTATAAGCTCTTCTGTCGAAAGGGAAAACTTAGAAAAGAAGAATAGGTCCTAGAAAATGATTAATTTCTAATGGGAAAGAATCCTCCATAAAGACTTCATTTTAGGCACATGCAGGGAGTTGCAATTATACTCTATCCTGATTTTGCCAAAAGAAAAGGAAAATAAAACACGTTCTCCTTTGTAGAAAGAGAAAATAAAAGAGGAAAGCTGATTGCACTACATGGAAAGGTGGTATACCAGTTTTTTTTTTTTTTTTTAATATAACTGGCAAAAATCAATTGCTTTTCTAGATCAGAGTAAGTGGAATAGAAATTCTGCATGGAAAAGCACTTTAAATTCAAGCAGAATTTCCTGTAAAATTTGAGGAGGATTAAAGGTTTATTAGTAATTGGATATCTGTGGGATTGGTTCATATATATATATATATATATATATATATATATATATATATATATATTCATTGTGTTAATTTTTTATGGAAGCTTACCAAAAGCATAATGTTAAATCTCTTGAACTTTGTTCTACTTATATAGGTTAATTACTTCTTTCTCTGTGACACCAAGATGGTTCATAGCAATTTCTAACTTTGCGTTGCCTTTCTGTATTGGTTGCCAAATATTTTTTGGACCAGTTCATCCAAACCTTTCCAATTCCACTTGTAATTTTGCACTGTGATTTCTTTTCCATCAAATCACTTAATGTTGAAGAAAGCAATAATGACATAGACCCGGTATCCAGGCACCATCTCCCCTGGTTGCAAACAGGATATTCTTATGATCCAGACATTCTCTTCCTCAGGAGTCATGTGAGTGATGGTCAGTGTGATGTTAGTGAATTTTCCTAGGCCAAGATAAGGCACATGAATCCCAACTTTCTCATTTTGGGAAAGCCAGAAAAAATGGCCTGGACCTTATCTGAAAAAAATTAAATGAAAAATTGTATCCCAAAGCTGTCACCTTGCTCCAGCCTTCAAAGCAGATCCAGTTCCTGATGCGCCCATCTCCCTGTTCAACTGTAATATAAGAAGCAGAGACTCCTGGATAATTATTTTAAATCTTTGTAAAACTAAGCCAAAGGAGCAGGTGTCTAATTACTATCTAAGCTCAATTGCTTTATTTTTCTGACTGAGACAAAAGATTACTAATGTAAATAGCAAAATGACTCAATCTGTATAAAGTTGTCTTAGAATCCTTCTTTTCTTTTTTTTTTTTTTACTTTAAAATAAAATACACTAAGTAGCTGATCCCAAATATAGTATTAATTTCATTTCCTCTTGACCTAAGTGGAAGTAAATACAATAAAAGTATGTAGGCAACTGTCCATAAAAAGCTCACTTATTTGAATTTATTTTCCATCTTCCCTCCTCAAGGTGAAGAAAAGGCAGGTATTGCATAGAACAGAACTTCTCAACCTACCTTTGGTAACAGAAGATTTTTTGTTGTTGTTGTTGGTATGTCTGTTTGCTTGTTTAATTCCCTGTTGGTCACAGACCAGACCAATAATTCTGTAAATATACATATACAAAAAAGGTTAGATTTTGCACTTCTACCAAATCACTGTAGAAATTTCTAAATGCTTCCTCTCACATTTTGTACTAATCAGATAGCAGACCAGTACGAGCTTGCAGGTTAGAGATCATGCAGCACACTGATAGTTGCACTGCTGAGAACATTTCAATTATTTGTTCTTGTGCTTATTCCACCCATAGGGCAATGCACTTGGAGCTCTTTAGGATAGGTTTATGTCTTATTTGTTGCATCCATAATAATAGAATACTCCCAGGAACATATTGGATGGCTACTAGATATTAGTGCACTGAAGGCTTGAGTGAAATAATTGAAATCCTTTCAAAATACACAAGAACCCTGAACTTGTCTGACTTGGAAGAGCCAGAAAAGTAAAATCAAACACCACATTATTTTAAAGGCAAGAACAAAGCTCACGTATTTACTCCCTTATCTCAAGTTCCGTACACCTCAAGAGTGCTTGGAATTAAATTAGAGTAACTTTCAGCTCTTAGCATTTGTAAATATAGTGGGTCAACCCAGGCTATGAAATCAGAAAAGCCTTTGATTGATCAAGCCAGGGCCGATTCCCATAACAAGCACTCATGGGGAATGTTCCAGATTGCGCCTTGACGGACAATTCCCTTTTCTTTCAAATAGTCACACTGATCCTTACCTTGTGTATTAATAGTCTGCTAAGGCTGTCATAATGAAATCCCACAGAAGGGGTAGTTTAAACAGCAGAAATATATTTTCTCATAGTTCTGGGGGCTTTAAGTCCAAGGTCAAGGTATTGGGTGGTTTTTGCTTCTCCTGCAGGCTCTTCTTTTTTTTTTTTTTTTTTTTAAATATTTTTCCTCTTTTTTTTTTTAATTTTTTTTAAATTTTTATTTATTTATGATAGTCAGAGAGAGAGAGAGAGAGAGAGAGAGGCGCAGAGACACAGGCAGAGGGAGAAGCAGGCTCCATGCACCGGGAGCCCGATGTGGGACTCGATCCCGGGTCTCCAGGATCGCGCCCTGGGCCAAAGGCAGGCGCCAAACCGCTGCGCCACCCAGGGATCCCCTGCAGGCTCTTCTTAATTGTAGATGGCCACCTTCTTCCTGTGTCTGCATGTGGCCTTTTTCTTGGGGTATGTGTACTCCTGGTGTCCTCTATCTTTTCTTATATGATACCAGTCCTATTGGATTAGGGTCCCACTTTTATGACTTTACTTAATCTCAATTGCTTCCATAAAAGTTCAGTCTCCAAATCTAATCTCATTAGAGGTTAGAGCTTCAACATATGAATTAGAGGGTGAGAAAGGGCACACAATTCCATCTATAATATCTTAGCATGTTATAAGCTAGAGATGATCTATGGGGAACAACTTTGACGGCATTCACCTCATATTGAGCTCCCGTTAAGGAATTATTAACAATGAAATTTCTTGTTACACTATGAGTTGATTGTTATCAAATTGCAGTCACGTACTAGGACTTTACAAACTTCTTTAAAAGCAAAATCCAATCAAATGAATGCTTTAACGAGGAAGAGACGAGGGTCACTTTGTTAAAAAGAAGAAACACCATAGTTACTGTAAGGCTACACAAGAGTGGTGATATGCTAGAAAGGTACATTGATGATGATAATAATAATATAACCATAATAAAAGCACTGGTTTAAATTAGCAGACTGTAGAGGGGAAAATGAGGACCCAGGTCATTCAATCTCACAGTTAATGACACTGACATCTTAACCTTGCCTTAATTTGACGAATTAGCAAGCATTTGAACCCATCAGGGATTTCATTTTTCTGGCAAGGTTTTTTTTTTTTTTTTTTCCAGAAACCATGATTACTAATCAACAGTTGTATTTTAATAGGGTGTCCATAGTGGCTTTCTGATGCAGCATGAATAATTGCCTACTATCTGTATTGCTCAACTTCCATAACAAACCTCACCTACTGAATTGAAAACTAAACGTGTTAATCTATTCACTGCACTGAGCTCATGCATGAAATGCAAGAGAATGTCAGAGAAATTATCCATTTATTGGCATAGCCTTTTAATTTGTTCTTCCATTTTTGCTTAATGTTTTTCAGTCTGTCATTTGCACCACCAACTACCAATATGGTAGGTGGTAGTCTAGCTTTTAGCTGTTCCCATTTGTAAACACTCAGTATCAATAGTTCCTGACTCATAAACAGA